AGTGAGATTACACATGTGTATTAATCCCACAGTCACAGGGAGATTCTGGGAACAACTTTTATGATGATGCTGTTAAGGGCCAGAGAGTGTAAGCACTACAGATCCATTTAATAAATATTAGTTCCATTATATGCGTTGTACCCCCTACTGTTATATTGATAAAAATGGTACTAAAGCATTTCCCTGATGCCATTTTCTCCAGCAGCTGGTGGTGTGCTGGATACTTTAATGAACAGTTTACAATTTGCCTTGACATGGGGCGTGGAGTTTAAAAGACGTGGGCTGTCTGCAACTCTGACTATCTCACCTTTAAAATTTGTGATCAGAACTTAATATATATACTTTAGGGCCATGAAAGGGAATGATTGTACAGCCTACATCTTTATAAACTTCAAAAAACAGAATTGGGTACACAAGTTTGAATTTATTCTGGATTGTCCCTAAGCCACAAATGATCAACAATGTCTTTAAACTTGACAAGTCCAAGCCTGTTAATTTCTCATTAGTGATCATGATTGACTACGACTGGTAGTTTGTCTGGCAGCATAAACGATTTATTTGATAGGATCAATACTCAGAATATTGAGAAAGTCTAAAGATGGAGAATTGCCAATTTGCACAAGTTAGGAAGGTTTTTCTGAGCCATTTCTAAGCAACTGCAGGTTCCAAGATCATCAGTTCAAACAACTGTATACAAATACGAGTTATTCTGATATGTCACCACTTTGCATAGATCTGGAAGAAGATGAGAGGAAGTTGGTCAGCATTTTCAGGAACAATCCAGGAACCTCTGAGGCTCAGCCTGCCTGCCAAGCCATAAACTGGAAACTGCTGAGAAAACCAGCATCACTATCCACACTGAAGGGTGTTTTACATCGCCATGGAGATAGAGGATGCTGACCAAGACAGAAGCCCCTGCTCCAAAATCAACACCTTCAAGCTTGACTGAAGTCTGCAGAGCCCCACATGGACAAGGCAAATGCCTTATGAAGAAGAAAATGTATTATCAGACAAGACCGAGATAGAGCTATTTGACTACAGTGACAACGGGTGTGTTTGGAGTAAAGGTAAAGCTTCCACACTTACCAGCTTTTAAGCATGGTGGTGCTAGCATAATGCTCTGAGGCTGTTCTGCTGCCAGTCGTACTGGTACGTTGCACAAAGTGGATGGAATATTGAAGGAGAAGAACAACCTCCAAATTTTTCACCTTCACCTCAAATCAGCAGGTGGATCATTGAACAGTTGATGGTTCCAACAGCACAGTGATCCCAAACACATCAAAACAGGTTTTTGAATGGATAACGCAGGCTTATACTAAGCTTCTGGAGCGGCTTTCCCACAGCCCTGATCTCAACCCTATTGAAAATTTGTTGACTATGCTTAATAGCCGGGTCCACTCAAGGAAACCAACTAATGTAAATGAACTCTACCAGTTCTGCCAAGAAGAGTGATGAAATATCCAGCCAGAACTGTGGCAGAAGCTTGTTAAGCTTAAGCTTAGCAGCTTGCTGAGAATCCCTGTACGAAATATTAGTGGGGTATATATTTAAATCTGTGTGGATCAGAAAAAATATAAAATTAAGTCAAACTTGTGCACCCAATTCTTGATTTTTAGAGTCTTTTTCCATCCAGGAAAAAGAACAGTACAAAGAAATCATTAAAAGCCCCAAATTACCATGACATTCATGCTCATGCTGCGTGGATGTAAACTCCTGATCACAAATGTTCCCTTTTTCTTGCTGTTATGTTTCTTATGATGCCTCACACTTTATTTTCTGGAATCTCTTGTATGTTCACAAGAGTTTTTCTGATGTGCATTTAAATGCAGTCCAGCAAAATCTGTAGAGTAATTTTCATACCTTGCAAAGAATCAAAATTAAAGGCTTTATTAAATGCTCTTTTAGAGAAAATGTTGTATGTAGTCAGTTTGGTTTGAATGCATTGTCACTGTATAGACTGGCCCTACTACTGGCCCAAACAGTAATAACAGTACTTTTGAGGTAATATGTTTTCTGTTGAGACACGGTTGCTTTTTGCAGTTGTTTACTGCGCAAGCTTGTGTGTATTAAGGAATATAATACAAACGTTAAAAAAAAATGCAAAGTCACAAACATTATACATCAAAATTCTGTTTCTTGATAGGCTCGACAAAAAAGCTCGGCATAAACACCATCAGTTGCTATTAACGCTTATTATTTTGTTCGTTTAATGGATTGTTGTGATGTACATAATATTACATAATATTACCAGCTGCCAGTGCCCAAAGTGAAATTTAAATATTGACATATGGATCAATTCGTGCTATCAGTGACGCACACTAATGTCAGATTAATGCGTCAGTGATAGGACAGATGCTCAGTTATTTCTGGCCGGCTGCACTTTGGCAGCTGAATTTTGTTTTGCCTGTCCTGCTCTGCCCACCCCCTGGTGTTCATGCTTTTATCTAGGGTGTATGTGTGATGGAGAGAGAGAAGGAGAGGTTGTGTGCTGGGAAGACAGAGAGGGAAAGAGAGGCGCTGGGTCGGTGTAAGACTGCTGTGCAGGAGGTGCAGGCGGGATGCTGACTACAAAGTGCACAGCTGCACCGGCGAACTGCGCGAGGTAGCCAGAGGCAGCGATAGTAAGTAGGATGAGGTATAATCAACTGCTGTATCACGGCACAGGCATCAACATGCAAGAGTCCGGGCGCATCAACCGTGACCGTTTTCTGTCCTGACAGCCCGGCGGCGGCGCAGGCTGCACCGTGACAAGACGATCCACAGTACCGACGGGTCGCATCAGCCCTGCAGACCGGACGAGACTGTCTCCGGACATCATCGATTTTACTCTGTGACAGCCAGCTCACGTTCATAAGTGTGCGAGAAAAAGAAAAGAAGAAGAAGAGGACTGATGAATGTGTGAGCTCACCTTTTCGTTCACCTTGGAAATATAACAACGCATGAAAGGTAATTTTTTCCCCTCACAGCGTCAGTGTGAGGGGAGAAACAGCCGCTGTCTTTGTGTTTGTCTTGGTTGCACCTGTAAAACTGCGTTTTTTGTTGTTGTTGTTTTCTATAAGTCTCTTACCTTTGTTTAAAACGGAGCTGTCATTCAGACTTGCAGCCTCATGGGGGGGTGCATATGTGAAAGGCCCACCGGCACCGGGTTTTAAGCTCCAAAAGTTTCCTCTTGACTTCAAACCTGTGTGATCGCTATTACTCACAGCTCTGTTTCACGGGTTATTGCTGTGATCACGTGAATTTCTCAGTTACAAAGATGTCCTCATTTGAACGTCATTCATTATTAACAGAGGTGTATAATTTATGAGTGGAAGGACTTTAAACAAAATGGAGGGAGGCACCTGTCCTTCTTATGTCAGGCATCCTCTTTCATGTAACCACAGGTGTAGATTTTAGGGTTGAACACATTTGACTCCATAAATAAAATCAGAGAAAATGCTTCTAAAATCTTTTTTTTTTTCAGCAATGCTTCATTCTTTTACTCTGGAAATATTATTTATCCCTGCAATATCCAAAGCTCACAACACTGGATCTTTTCTCCTAAATGTAATTAATCCCACTAAGCCCACGAACACACACCCTGTTTTGATGTCAGTCAGAAGCTGCAAAGCTTGACTTCTGATAATTTGCCGGAGCACAGAAAGAAATGATGAGGATGAGGTTTAATGTTAGGACATTAAAAATGTTGTTAGTTTATTAAATAACCTTAAGTTTGTGTCATTTGTTATTTTCGGTAAGTCTCAATAACATAGCCAAGAAAAAAACGATTGTATAAAATGTGCAGGAAGTTTTGAATGTGGATTTATTAGTGAATCTGTGAAAAAATAAGAGGTGTGCATTTACTTTACTCCAAAGAAAAGGCACAAACTGTCAACTTGTTAAGCATCAACATCCAGGCAGAAACAAAGGAGTGGAGTGCAGGAGAGTAAATCAGCCTATATGTGTCCACTCACCAGAGATGAGCTCATATCTATCTATGCATGTATGTATATATATATATATATATATATATATATATATATATATATATATATATATATATACAAAATTGAGACAAAAAGCCTGAAAGACTCACTGCATTATATTCCAGGAGGCTGTTGTAAATTGTTATTTGTGGGGTTAGTTTTGACATTTCTAAACAGAAAGAAACAAATTGGAGCATTAAAATTACCAGAATGCAGGAAATGAAGTGTACAATGCTTCAAATTTCCTAGGGGACTAACACGTACCCCAGGTTAATGTGTCTCCTCCTGAATATTCAAGCGGAACTGACACCTACGCTTGTGACCCACAGCATCTGTTGACATTGCCTGATGTGCTTCATTATCTGCAGCTGTGTCCGATCCCCTTTGCTTCCCTTCTGACTGAACTCAAATGTTAGAGAAGTGAGAGATTACAAAAAGCAGTGTGCTCTAAAAGCACATTACAGCCCTATTCCTTATCTAAATAACTACTAACAATCTTTTCTTTTGCTTTGTAAGAGGGTCAGGGGCTAATTAACTGTGCTTAGCAGCTAGGGTGTAATCCAGGACGCAGCAGGCCTAAAGTTAGTTCCTTAGCCCAGTTGCCTAGTCATGATAACATCATCAGTGATGCCAAGGGAGGATGATGTGGACAGGTACTCAAAATAATGTAATACTCTTTCTCATTTTCCACTCACTGCAGGCACTTCTTTTGCTCTTCCAATTGTGTGCTGACAAGCAATGTTGCAATTTTGTGCCTTTTTTACATTCTGCAAGTAGAATCACTGTGATTTCTTTTTCCTTTAAACACCATTAAGAAAAATGTCATAAACACGATGTTACAGGTTGATGGATCGCCTGCCGCAGAAACAAGTTGGCACGGACCCTTGTAGCCATAAAGTACAGCCTGGAAACTGTTCATTAATTGGAGCTGGTCTGGATTTACCTCCACAACTCCAAACACAGGAAGCACCTCTAAGCAGCCAGTCAGAAAAGCTCAAGAAAACGTCTGGATTGAATCCCATGCAGGTGGTCGTTATGCCAAAAAGGGGGACTGAGCAGATGCAGTCAGGGCAGACGAAGCCTGCGTCCACTCCAGTAACACTGGCATGCATAAGCCGACCAAGGCCAACTGCTCTTGGAAATAAACCAAGGCAAACCAGAATTTCAGTGGAGCCATCCAACGAGATAGATTTGATCCCTATTTGCATCCCAGGACCTCAGAGTACAAACATACTCCTACACTCCCCAACAGATTCTTCATTGCCTCCTCACAGTCCTCATTCTCCCCATTGCCCCCAGCCTTACCTGAACCCCACCCCCTGCCTTCCTCCACCACCACCACCACCATCCCTCCTCCCCCTCCCCCCCCTCCTCGCCAGCCATCACCTCACCTGCCCTCCAGCCTAAGCTTCAAGCCCAGCCTCAGCCCTCAGCCCCAGAAGACCCCCTCACCTGGAAGCTCAGCACAGAGCCAGCTTCAGTCTGAGAAGCCAGGAGGAGAGAACAATGACTTCAGGTGAGAGAAACAATGTGTGTGGCTGTTTGCCCATTTTGTGTTGAAGCACAGCTACAGATGCTGTCCTTCAGTCAGGGCTGATAAGAGAGCTGATGTGTGCCAGACCACATCACATAAATCACAGCAGCAAATTTCACTAAAAGCTTTTTGAACTGACAGAGTGACACGGCCACATTGTGTTGGTAGATTTCCCAGAGGCACTTCTGTTGTGTTTATTTATTTATTTAACCTTTATTTAATTAGAAGGTCCCTTGAGATTAATACATCTTTTTCAACAAGGAGACCTGGCTGAGGAGGCACACCATTATAAAATTAGAAATTATAAAATCAGTGCTTACATGTTATACAAAGTAAAGCAAGTCAAAGTCAATAAGTAACGCAATACAAAATATCAAGTTCAGTTTATGAATAGCAGTTGCAGTCTTTGGTTACAGAAGAACATATATGAGTGCTCTGAAGTCTCCCAGGGAGATAAAAGCTTTCAGCTTAATTGTCCTCTGAAGGTTATTCCAAGACCAAGGTGCAAAACGGGATACTGTTGTATCCTATACTGTTCTACCAAGTTCAGAAAAATCCTGAGTACCCTAAAAAGGAGCCACTAAGAGAAACGCAAATCATAGCAGCTGTTTAAAGGGGTTAGGAGTTTACACAGATAAGAAGGGAATTTACCCAGTATGGCTTTGTACATAAATTATGGTTGTCTCCTTTGGGTTAACGAAGGCCAGGGAAGCAGATTATAAAGTACACAGTGATGTGTACCAGACAATAAAGTGTAAATACTACACATCATGTAAAAAATGAAGTGCAGAGGTGGCAGCATGCATGTAAATAATGTCACCATAACCAAGTACATTTAAGAGTGTAGCCTATGCAAATGTTTTCTTAATTGATCAATTAATACAGGCCCTATTTCAATAATAAAAACCAAGCCTGACTTTCAGCTTTTTCGCCAAGTGCTTAATATTCAGCACTAAAGGAAAGTTGGCATCCAACCAAATACTTCTCTCCTACGGTTCAAAGACCGACATTGTCTAAGATTTGAAAGCGATTTCTAGAAACCAACATGAGCTCAGTTTTTTTAGGCATGTGAATGAATTATAACCTTTCAGTGATGCCCGCAATTCCTAAAAGTCATCACTTGTTTGAAACTCACAAACAGCCTAAATCACCGTAATGACTAAAGAGGAAATGATGGTGTCATCTGCATAAAGGTTCACGTTAGCTCTTTAGCTTGAGGCATATTCTTCCCAATGTTCCCAATTAAAAATAGAAAATAAAACAGGACCCAAAACTAAACCTTGGGGTATTCTGTTCTTTAGGAAACTTGGTTTGGCACTGTGTTCTATATAAAGTGAAGCCCTGTAACTCAAACCAATATCACTGAATCTGCCTAACAGCAACTCATTGTAAGCAGAACCTAATGCATTTGAAAGATCAGAAAAAAAACATAGCAGCACAATGCTCTGTCCTACTTAGGGAATTAATAATATCATTTATTACCAAAACACTGGCTATTATGGTACTAAAACCCAATTTGAGAACAGACCTAGTTTGACTTAGGACTTAAGTCAGACAAATATTGTTTCAGGTGAGTGTTTATTTCAGACTCTTGAAATTTGGCAGGGTATAAAGTTTATATATCACTGGCAATAATTGGTGCCCAGTTTTATATAAGAGGAGAACACAGGCTGCTTTCCATATTTTAGTAACAACATTAGTCTACAGACTCAGATGGGAAAAATGTAATTAATAAGCTCAGGATTAAAATCAGCTGCAAGCTTTACAAGATAAGCATCCATACCGTCAGGTGTGGTTGACACTTTTGGGGGGGTGAATGGATTTCAAAGCTTTACAGATTACAGCAGCAGAATTGGTTCTATAAACAAATGGATCCATTGATAATAATAATAATAATAATAATAATAATAATAATAATAATAATAATAATAATAATAATAATAATGGACAGAAGGTGGCCTAGAGTGCTTTAGAGAAAGCCACAATTACATTCCAGGTCAAAAAAATCCAAACAGTTTCAAAATACATGAAATGCTGAAAACACTGTTTTGATGTGTTAACTCACTATTGTGAAAAAAAAATCACAATGATTTAGTTTTCATTAAAATGTGTTTAGAATTTATGGGTTGATGATAATTTATATTATAAATTAGGACACACTGATCTCCCTACTTAAGCTACCCTTACAAGTCAAAAGTATCAGGACTGGTATCTGCAATACTGCACCTGTATTTTTCTGGAATCAGATCGATGTCAAAATTTGCATTATCGCACAGCACTATTGTACATGTAAAACTAAAGGTTGTGCTTCAGATGTATTAAAACGCCTTTTAAAAACATAATGCAGTTTGAGCTTGGGTGATTTTAAGTTTCTTAAACAAGCAATGGCACGTTATAATTACAAAATTCTGCAACAGATGAATATTTGTTAATATTTGTTGGGCACATTTGTAAGAAAAAGGTCTAATAATGTTGAGATATTTGGATCTTTTGGACTGAATGAAAAAATGATGTCAAAGGCTGTTTAGATGACACCAAGTTTAACAGCTCTCAAATTCATCCAAAGGCACTTTTTTTCCCTGGTTTTTTTTTTTTTTTTTTTTTTTGGTGTAATGTAGCTCACAACAAATCATATCTGCACACTTTAAATTATGAATAAATGGCTATCGGCAGAGCAGAATATTAACTCTAATGATGTGCTTTTATTTCTGTAAATAAGCACTGTAACTAACAACAGGATGTCTATTTACATAAATTATTTGACCCCGAACGTGTGTCTGTGCTAATAAAACCATTTTGTCAGTGCAGAAATTGCATATCCAAATAATGACAAGCAAAATGTGCAGAGGTGTAAAGCTGATTCACTGAGTCCATTTAACCTCAAATATTTTTTTTTCTGGGGAAAAAATGCCAAATACTTGCTGGTTCCAGCGGTTCGAAAAACAGGATGTGTTTCTTTTTCTTGATCTCACGTTAAAGCAAAGTGAATCAGTGGTTCTCACTGTTTCTGTTAACCGAGGAAAATCACAAACCAAAGAAACTGATGGTTAGATGGAGTCTTAATTAATTATTTTGGATATTTCAGCACAAAATAATCAAACTGGTAATTCAAAGGATGATTAGCTCCATACTTTCTTTTTATCTTTGCCATAACTCATCCACAATCACACATGCACACACACATACACACACACACACACACACACACACACACACACACACACACACACACACACACACACACACACACACACAGGCAGGCAGAATACTTAGTCATCATCAAGGGATGCAGAAGTGCTTAATTGTGCTTATCTTTTTTTCTGTACACAGAAACCCTGATGAAAGCTCTTTCTCTGAGGATTACAGCATGGATTACGTCCTTGTTTACCTTAAACTATAGAACTCATGCAATTTTTCCACTGTTTCTGTCCTTTCAAAGGGTGTACATCATCACATGGAACGTGGGATCAGCTGTGCCGCCAGATGACATCACTTCTCTCTTTGGACCAAATGTCTCCGATGGGAACATTGACATGTTTATCATCGGGTAAGCAAGTAATTCTGCACGGCTCAGCGGTGCCAAAGAGACAGCCGTGAATGCCCACTCAGTCATCTGTGTTCATTTTGATTCTTCCCCTACTGTTACCCATCACTGTCCTTTTTTTTAGTATTATTATTTTCATTTTGACATTTCTCTACTTTCTGGCACCATCCAGACTCCAAGAAGTCAACTCCATGATAAACAAAAGACTGAAGGATGTTCTTTTCTCAGACCAGTGGAGTGAGCTTTGCATGGACACACTCAGCCCTTTTGGATATGTTTTGGTCAGTAAGGAGTGAAATCTGTTGTCCTTCATAACCTTTAGTGCCATTAGAATTGTAGTTTCTTTTGCTATGGATATATTATTTTTCATCCATCTCATGTGTTCAGGTGGCGTCCCAGCGAATGCAGGGAGTGCTGCTGCTGGTTTTCTCTAAATTCTGCCACCTTCCATTTCTCAGAGGTGTGCAGACACAGAGTACACGCACAGGACTTGGGGGATACTGGGTACGTGCTACACATTACAGAGTGCTGCTTTGAAACCAGCTGAGATTCATGATGTTGCAAAAGTTGAAGTGGGCTCATGTCACTGGGGGTAGCAAGGGAAGATATAGTGTGTGTGTGCTCCCTCCTGCCAGCAGGTGCATGCATGCCTGGGTGCATATGTCAGTGTGTGACCTTCCTGTGCATGTTGATGTCAGCATCACCCCTGGCTGCTGCTGGTGCAGTCTCCTTCTCTTTGAGGTCAGTGCAGCAGCAGCAGACTGTCTGGCTTTCTGGTGTTGTGAGTGTTGGGGAAAAAAAACAACACGACCTTGTTCCCGAGCACAGATCTGGTTGATATACGCTGATGTTTGTTTAATTTTAAATCTTGTCTGCATAAGAGGTCCTTTTGACGCTGCATGCTTCGCCCTTTCCTGTCATTTTAAGGGGAATAAAGGCGGCGTCAGTGCAAGGATGACCATGTTCGGCCACCCCGTGTGCTTCCTCAACTGTCACCTGCCAGCTCACATGAGGAACCTGGAACAGAGGATGGAAGACTTTGAAAGCATCCTGCAGCAGCAGCAGTTTGAAGGAGGGGCTGCTACTGGTGTACTAGACCATGAGTGGGTGACTTTTCTTTTTTTTCTTTTTCTTTTTTTTAATAAAAGGTCTAATTAACTGAAAAAAGCTTTGCACACCCATACAAAGTGATGTTATTATTAAGTTATAACAATGAACAAATCCCACACATATATTTGTTAAAAAATGTTTCCTGCTTTGATCGAACCTCTTGAACCCTTAGCATGCACGCTTAATTTAGCTAATAATGATATGTATTTATGTTAATTTTTTTTTAATTGAATCTACATAGGCACAGTGCACTACAGTGGTAAATTGACTGTTTTATTCTTTGTATCTGTGCTCTCTTCCTGAAGTAAAGGCCTCTTTATTCTGTTCCCAGTGTCGTGTTTTGGTTTGGGGATTTAAATTTCCGTATTGAAGACTATGATATCCATGTGGTGAAATGTGCCATTGACAGCAATAAGCTGCCTCTTCTGTGGGAGCGGGATCAGGTGAGGCACCTTCAGCATTTTAATAAAGCATTCACACATTCACAGAGACAGATGGATTTTTCTGGAAGGCTTCATGCCACCTGTTTAATCAGACACTACAACCAACAGAGGGAGCTGTAGCACAAAAACCTGTGTTTAAATAATAATTATTTCTAATATTATAATTCTGGAATGTTTGCCCTACTCTGTAGCTCAACATGGCTAAAAACACAGAGCTCATCCTGGAAGGCTTCATGGAGGGACAACTTAAATTCCCACCTACTTATAAGTTTGATGTAGGCACTCATACCTACGATACCAGGTTGGTTCAGTCATCTCTATCTAGACCCTGTTTACACTTGGTTTTAAAATGCATCTTGGGCAATCAGATCCCAAGTGGAGACACACTATGATCCTAAATTTTAATATGTCAGGATGTTTCTCTGATAAGGACATAACACAAAGTGTCATCAGTGTAGTCGTCTTTGACTTTGAAGGACATCCACTCAGTCTCATCAGGTGGAATAGCACGGACACATATTATGAATCAGTCACACCAGAATAGAAATAGGATTGTAACCTTCTTGTGACTATAGGAAAAATTGGTGGTTGCCTGGTAATTGCATTATTATTGTTCCATCTGGTAAATGATTGCCATTTGATTGTCCAAAGATTGAATACGCAACACTTTTAACCTCTGGACAACAGTTTCAATTGCAAGGTGATAACACAAATCAGCTGATCAGAGGCAACCTGCCTCCAAACTGTCACGGTCAACCAGTCAGACCGGCTCATACAGATTGATGGAGGGTTTCAAATACTTGTCACCAGATTGACAACACAACAGAATCAAACTGAATCAGTCTGATCTCTTTGCAATGGGGGACTGGACTCAACTGGTTGTATTCTGGTTAGACTTCTATATAACAGTAAGGTAGCTGAGCGTATGTATCATTTTGCAGTAAAGTTGCTGTCCTGCAGAAACTATGTAACTATTTATGGAATTTCTGTTTCAAATGAGGATCTAAATGTAAGTAGTGAATGTGAATTTCTGTGCATGTAGAAAGCAGCAGATTTGTGATTTTCACAGTTTTATCAAAGTTAGCTCCTGTATCATCACAAACAGACTGCTTCTATTTGCCAACTTGACCGCATTCAGTCTCAAGCTACTAACAGACTGACTCCATCCTAATGCCGTTGTATTGCCATCTTGACTCACCTTGAAGACAGCAATTAACTGTGAGTGGTCACAAACCTGGTCCTCATCTTTAAAATAATCATCTATAAGGCAGAATTGTCACAAGTTTCATAATAATTTTGACCCTTTTGCTGTTTCCAACAATCGTTTTCCCTTGTGGGAACAACAGCATTTATTCTTGAAACAGATCTGAACATTTTTGTAACTATTGTGTGTGATAACTGAGGGGCTCTTTCAACTTCAGCTTATCAACCTTGGCCGTAAACAGAAGTGAGCATTAGGGTTGGAGTAGCAAGTATAAATGATGATGAATTATCAGCTCTCCAGTTGGTGTTCAGATGTCTGAAATGCATTTTAAAACCAAGTGTAAACAGGGTTGTTGATTTTATTGTCTAAAAGCAAAGTTTCCACCGCTTATAACCGTGTGTCTGTTTCTCTGTCAGTGCTAAAAAGAGGAAACCTGCCTGGACAGATCGCATCCTATGGCGTCTTCGCCGCAGTGGTTCACCAGTTCCTACCCACAATGCAGCACTGCAGCGTGGCCTGACCTCGTGGTTGGGGGGGGCAACTAAAGTGACACAGCATGCGTATCGCAGTCACATGAGTTTCACCATCAGTGACCACAAACCTGTTTCTGCCCTGTTTTCACTACATGTGAGACAATGATTATCATATGACCTCAGATGAAGCATGCCATAATTACATCTCTGTGTTGTTACATTGCTAGGTTGTGCTTTATCTAACTATCTATAACTTATCTCCTAGTTCCCATTCAGGGTGGATATGCCTCTGGTGGAACTGCAGGTAAACAAGGAATGGTGCAAAGCCTCAGATGCTACAGTCAGATTCACTGTTGCATCAACTTATCAGCGCAGCTCATGGGACTGGGTGGCAATATACAAGGTAAGTCTTAAGTTTATAAATTATTACACATATTTCCCACAGTGTCAGCACCTGCAATTATCTTCCTGCAGGTTGGATTCAGACATCACAAAGATTATCAGGCGTATGTGTGGGCCAAAGCGGAGCATGCAACGCAGGTGAGCCTTAGCACAAATTCACAAATATGTTTTGAGCTGAACTCAGAGATACTCTGTCTGGTTTTCTCTCCACAGGTGACATTCTCAGAGGAGGATTTGCCGAGAGATGACTGTGAATATATCCTGGGTTACTACAGTCATAACATGAACAGCATTGTTGGATTGTCATCACCAATTCAGGTAACACGAATTATAGAACAACGTGAAGCAAATGCATTCCTGTTAGTCAAGAACAGATCCAGGTACACAGGTACAATCATCAGCCACTTCATTAGGTATGTCTTCCTAGCACCAGGGTTAGGGCAAGGTGCTGCAAAACATTCCTCTGAAATCTGGGTACATATTGACATTATAGGATCACACAGTTAATCACACAGTTGCTGAAGATTGATGAAACATAGCCGTAGTTTCCTGTTCTTAGCTGACAGGAGTGGCACCCAGGGTGGTGTTCTGCTGCCATAGCCCATCTGCTTCAAGGTTTGACATATTGTGCACATGTGAGTGAAGTTGCCCCCCCCCCACCTTCTAAAAATCCAACAAAAGTGGTATCAAACGTTTGTGCTACATTTGTGCTGGTTTGTGCTGCAAAAATTTGGTTTCTGCTGCAAAGATTTTCGTTTGTGCTGCTATCATTTTAAAGATATTCAAGAAATTTTCTGTGTTGACCTTTTGACCTTTACATTTTCGTTAATATCTTTAAAACGGAAGCAGCACAAACGACAATTTCAGCAGCACAAACCAGCACAAACATAGCACAGTTGAATGATACCAGTTTTGTTTGATTCCATTAATGTGGGGGGGCTGGTTGACCTCTGACAACCTCTAGAAATTTTTATTAATATCTTTAAAATGATAGCAGCACGAACCAGCACGAACGTTTGATACCACTTTTGTTGGATTTGAAGAAGGGGGGGGGCAACTTCACTCACATTATTGATATGTGATCATCTTTTACATGCATTGGTCATAACCAGAGGATATTTGGATTATTGTTGCTCTCCTATGGATATTTTCTCTTTTTCAGTCCATACTGGCTGTGTGGGATAATCCCAATAGATCAGCAGTTTCAGAAATACTGAAACGAGCATGTTCAAACCAACTTTAATCACCTTTCCTCCTAGTTCAGATGTTCAGTTTGAACTTCAGCAGGTCATCTTGACCATATCTATACGTCTATATGCACTGAGCTGCTACCATATGATTGACTAGTTGGATATTTGCATCAATAAGCAGTTGAACAGGTATAAATGGCATGGCTAGTGTATACTGTATATATAAGTAAACTGTATATTATATTTGCCATTTAAATGCAAATATAATAGCAAAAAAATCCGATTCTATCCACTAAATGTGAATATTTCCAGGATCTGTTTGTCCTCTGTGAGAGTGAAGTAATATCTGACAAATTTCCAACTGTTTGACTGACAAAACAGGACGCATGAATAAGGCAGCTGGGCTTATCAAAGAGAAAAACATGAATATTTTATCATAAAACTTCTTAATATGTCCGCTACTTTTCATTTATCTGAGTCAAAATATGGAGATTAAACTGCTACCACTGTGCAAGCAGTGAAATTACCCCCACTTTACCTGGCCACAACATTAAAAATCTGCTCGAAAATGCAGATTGTCAAAAGACACGAAGTGCCTGATATCTTTAAGTTAATTATTATTTTTAATTCACTTGCACTTATTGTACTTACTTGTAAAGCATATTGACCGTTGTGCCGACATACGTCTTGTCCTCAACAGATCAACATGCCAGTTCACAGTCCCACCGTGTGTCGCTCCGAGAGCTCCGATGTCAGCTCTGAAGATGACAGCACTCTTGTTCTGCTGGCTCCAAACTCCCGCAGCCCGAGCCCTAAAGCGGGCAAACACCACCACCGTCACCGGCGCAGTCGCAGCCCTGCACTTCCTGCTCTTTCATCTAATCCCCTCCCTTCTCTGCAGAGCCTCAGCCTCGGGCCTCGCTCCAAAGAGAGCCAGACACGAAGCCGCTCTCCCTGCTCTAAAAAGGAGCGGCTGATGTCCCCCGATGCCGTGCCATCTCCCACCATCAGCCCGCTCAGTCCTCGCAGCCCTGTGTCTCCAGGTAGTGTGGTGACTGCACCAGAGGCCCTGGTTGCTGCTATCCTAGGTGAACCCAGACCAGCTCAGGTTAGCCCCACAGGGGTGAAACGGATAGGAAAGACAGGGGAAACAGACACTGCAAAGAAAATGAAAATCAAGAGTTAAAATGAGACTGTGTATGAGCGGGAAAAAAAGCAATATCCATCAAATCAGAGTCTGATCTGACCCCCGTGTCACTGTGCTCATAGTGTCACAGGGCATTTATTGACTCCTAATGTAGTTTGCAAACATTCCTTTGCTTTCCCAGTGCTTTTATAGACTCATAAGCTATATCATTATGTAAACAAGCATACAGAATATGAGGCTAAAGTTGGAGCAAACCTGTGACCGATATGAACAGATGTTATTGACAGCAATATGGATCCATGTAAACATGGATCCATATTGCTGTCAATATGTCAGTTCTGCATCAGAGTAAGGACCTTGGATCACAAGTATTGATGGTATCACAGTTAACAGCAGAGTGTGTGTGTGTGTGTGTGTGTGTGTGTGTGTGTGTGTGTGTGTGTGTGTGTGTGTGTGTGTGTGTGTGTGTGTGTGTGTGTGAGTGGTTTTGTGTAGACCTTTGTGCTAAACCATAAATATGTCAAACTTTCATTTTGGAACACATGATGGTTTAAATGTTTAACTCTATAGGTCTTGGTCTGTATTCATAAAACAAATCCAAATGCATCCAAATCATTCCAAATCTGAAATCTACATGTGACTGTGAAAACTTGAACATCGCTTTTTGTGGATACAGCCCCTGTTCTATAGGGCACTTTGAGTGACTGTTTAGGCTAATAATGTGTTTCTTTGGCTCCCAGGAAACTGTGTTGTGTCATCTATGCGATTGTGCAAATAAAAGAGCAAATGCAAACTAACAAATGCAGATTATTGGATGACATTATGCTGTCAAGAAAAAGCATACGTTTGTACATTCGTGTGAACTCACTTAACCCTCAGTTCAGATATATCTTAATTGCATTCCTGCTTTAAGTGAACAACAACTCATGACTCCACTTGGACTTCAATATTTTGATTCAGAGAGACTTTGAAAGACCAAAGGTCAAAATTAGCATTCGTCTTCAATCCCCTGGCAAATGTTAACAGCCAAACATGTTACTAAAGTCACGGGGTCACAGGAAAGGTGTGTTTGATACGTCATTTACAAACTATTATGGATCACAGGAAAGGGAGATGCAATACAAGTTGCCACTTAACTTGGGGGTTTAAATTTGGCGATTAATTGGATTCAGTTCAGTTCTATATATAAAACACCACTTCACAAGAAGTCATTTCCAGATGCTTTATATTGTAAGGTAAAGATCTTACAATACAGATGGAGAAGCCCAATGATCCAATAATCACCTATCTCGCACTTGGCGAGAGTGGGGAAGAAGAACGCATGTAGAGACTTTCGGGTGTAGTCTCTATGTAGGGGCAAAACAAATTGTCCTTGTTTTTTCTAAAAATGGTAACATTTATCGACCAACAGTGAAAATGGTTGTCAAGAGCCCCATACCCTTTGTCGTAATAATAATGATAACGAGTGAAAACTAAGAATTTGTAAATTCGTAATTTGTAAATTTGTAAATAAGAGTTCGACACTTGTCTGTACAAAACAGGCAAACAAACTACTGCGATCATTCTGTCTCTACACAGCCATCACTGATCTCCTCAGAATCTGTTTTACTTTCAACTTCCTGCAACAATGCGTCAGGTTTGCCTTTCTTTGACCACACAACAGAGGCTATAATGTTTTCTAGGTGAGGATTTCCCTTTGCCTCCTCCTCAACTCTTTCCAACACCTCCACATACTCGTCTTTCTTCAGATTGTCCACATAGTTTTCAAATATAGTGAGCAGAGGAAAGGCGTACGCAATCACATTCTCACTAAGATTCGGAAACCCATAGAAAAACCTGCCACTGTGCAGACCAAACACTTGTCCGTCGGCATCGAAAACCGGGGAGCCGGAAGAGCCGTGGTAGCTACATGAGAGTGTTGTAGGTGACGTAGATATTTCCATACGGGTCATTTTTGATCTGCTGATTGATTTCACAAAGACTGCAAAATTCCTCGCAGTCTTCTACATTTTCATTATTCTCAGCGTTCTCTCGCCTCTCTGACGACGCACGCAGGACTCTTTTTTTTTCACTCCCCCTCCTGGGCGTCCGGCGACACAGGCCTCGCCGCCTGAAGGCACATGTCCAAATCTCTTAAGGAGCCCTGGCGGCACTTTCTCTGTTTCCAGCTTAAGTATGACATAATCTAATTTATCGTTGCCGATGAACACCTTAGCGCTGAGGTTGTTCCTGTCTGATTCTTGGTCTTCAAAGTTAAAGACCACAGTAACGTTTAAAAATTCACACCAGTTAGGTGTGTTTGATTTAACCCAGTAGTCGAATAAGTGGGCGTTGGTCAAGACAAAGTTGTCAAATAGCACAAAGCCTGTGCCTTGCTTTATGAAGGAACCAGTTATGAGACAAACTGACTCGCTCAGTTCGAGCAGCAACATAACACTGCGAATTTCAGTAAAAGACTGTCGGCTCTTTCCAAAGGTCTCCTTCCTGTATTTCAGTGCTTCCAGAAAAGAATTTTTAGGGAATCTACTCTCCATCCATCGTTTCAGATGCGGATACTGCTGGCAAAGTAGATCGTAAACCTCCTTACGGTCAATGCTGCTGCCCATTTCTGCTGTGCTACATCTAAGACTGATGTCATTCCACTGCTGCGCTTTGCATTATTTGATGCGTGTGGAGGTTTCTGCTGCCCTGGGATGGCTACATCTTTTATTTCCGTATCTGCTCCCTGTGGAAAACATATCTAGAATTTCTTATTGTCCAGACAATCGATTATGTCTGTGCACTCAGTCTTACGTTCGTTAACCAGCTCAAAGTAGCCCAGGTCATCGACCGTCTCTTTTCAGAGCCTCGGCCGCAGTTATTCCCTTCTCCCCGTAAACACAAAGATACTTGAACTGTTGTAAAGCGTCATTTAAAAAAAAACCTTTTGTCTTTTTTGGCATTTCGTCCTCCCTTTGTACCGATGTAAAAGACAGAATAGCAATCTCTCGCCTTAACCATCTTCTTATATTTACTGAAAGGCCTCCGTGCAAGCTTGAACATGTTGCGTGTGCCGTCTGAACTGGATTTCAGTCTGAACTGATGTCCGTGTGGGTCCTACAGAGAATCAGAGTTGGAAAAGTTGTTAATGTAGCAAAAAACAAAATGTATTGCATTTTGTTCATAATCTCTTTAAAGTCATGATCGTTTTTTTTTTTACCGCTTTCACTGGAGTGGGTAAATGAGTCTGCAAAGTTAAAAAAACTGATTTACATTTCTTGTTTATTACTTTTATTGGACATTATCCGATCTCATTTATACACATTTAAGATATAAAGTAGAAAATATCCTTTTGTTTGCATTTGGAGACTCGGTATTTGACCATCCCAAATATCTGGACCAGGGAACCAACTCCTCAAACTGGTAAAAAGGTCAATTACACAGTTACACGATCGCTAAACTAACCTGTTTTTGAATAAAAGAAAACCATACAAGCATGAGCCCTGGAATCTCGGTTGTAAAAAAAAAAAAAAAAAAAAAAGAAGCACTACACATTACTTTTCTTATGTTTAGCATACAGGAGTTGCTGCTCACACCCTGAGTTGCACTAATGTGTCTGTCAGATGCCCCAAATGGAATGTCAGGCCGCATGCGCACTCATACCGGACACCTCCTGACCTTATTTCCACGAGCCCTTGACTCAGCTGCAAAGTGCTTACGGGGTCAGTTTCCTTTTCATCAGAATTATCTGCCGTCATTCAGACATAAGTTGAGCAATGGTTTAACCAATTTTCCATCAAAGGGATGTTGGAATTAAACAGAGGATGTAAAGTGGGGCAAAAAAGTATTTAGTCAGCCACCGATTGTGCAAGTTCCCCCACTTAAAATGATGACAGAGGTCAGTAATTTGCACCAGAGGTACACTTCAACTGTGAGAGACAGAATGTGAAAAAAAAATCCATGAATTCACATGGTAGGATTTGTAAAGAATTTATTCGTAAATCAGGGTGGAAAATAAGTATTTGGTCACCTCAAACAAGGAAAATCTCTGGCTCTCACAGACCTGTAACGTCTTCTGTAAGAAGCTTTTCTGTCCCCCACTCGTTACCTGTATGAATGGCACCTGTTTGAACTCATCATCTGTGTAAAAGACACCTGTCCACAGCCTCAAACAGTCAGACTCCAAACTCCGCCATGGCCAAGACCAAAGAGCTTTCGAAGGACACCAGGAAAAGTATTGTAGACCTGCACCAGACTGGGAAGAGTGAATCTACAATAGGCAAGCAGCTTGGTGTGAAAAAAATCAACTGTGGGAGCAATCATCAGAAAATGGAAGACATACAAGACCACTGATAATCTCCCTCGATCTGGGGCTCCACGCAAGATCTCATCCCGTGGGGTCAAAATGATCATGAGAACGGTGAGCAAAGATCCCAGAACCACACGGGGGACCTGGTGAATGACCTGCAGAGAGCTGGGACCAAAGTAACAAAGGTCACCATCAGTAACACACTACAACGGCAGGGAATCAAATCCCGCAGTGCCAGACGTGTTCCGCTGCTGAAGCCAGTGCATGTCCAGGCCCGTCTGAAGTTTGCCAGAGAGCACATGGATGATACAGCAGAGGATTGGGAGAATGTCATGTGGTCAGATGAAACCAAAGTCGAACTTTTTGGTATAAACTCAACTCGTCGTGTTTGGAGGAAGAAGAATACTGAGTTGCATCCCAAGAACACCATACCTACTGTGAAGCATGGGGGTGGAAACATCATGCTATGGGGCTGTTTTTCTGCCAAGGGGACAGGACGACTGATCCGTGTTAAGGACAGAATGAATGGGGCCATGTATCGTGAGATTTTGAGCCAAAACCTCCTTCCATCAGTGAGAACTTTGAAGATGAAACGAGGCTGGGTCTTCCAACATGACAATGATCCAAAACACACCGCCCGGGCAACAAAGGAGTGGCTCCGTAAGAAGCATTTGAAAGTCCTGGAGTGGCCTAGCCAGTCTCCAGACCTCAACCCCATAGAAAATCTGTGGCGGGAGTTGAAAGTCCGTGTTGCTCGGCGACAGCCCCAAAACATCACTGCTCTCGAGAAGATATGCATGGAGGAATGGGCCAAAATACCAGCTACTGTGTGTGCAAACCTGGTAAAGACCTATAGTAAACGTTTGACCTCTGTTATTGCCAACAAAGGTTATGTTACAAAGTATTGAGTTGTATTTTTGTTATTGACCAAATACTTATTTTCCACCCTGATTTACGAATAAATTCTTTACAAATCCTACCATGTGGATTCATGGATTTTTTTTTCACATTCTGTCTCTCACAGTTGAAGTGTACCTCTGGTGCAAATTACTGACCTCTGTCATCATTTTAAGTGGGGGAACTTGCACAATCGGTGGCTGACTAAATACTTTTTTGCCCCACTGTAAGTTAAGGAAATATAAGTCTGACTATGGAGCACATCTCCTTCAGTGTTAACAATAATGGATTGCATTTCTCTCAGTCAACTGACTGTTTAGGGGGGAAAGCAGCTAATAGTTAGTGGGCTCTGTGTTTGTGGTTGTTGTATGTTAATCACACTAGGAGTGAGAGGTGTGGACTCGAGTCACATGACTTGGACTCGAGTCAGACTCGAGTCATTAATTTTATGACTTTAGACTTGACTTGAAAAAATGTTCTAAGACTTGTGACTTGACTTGGACTTTTACACCAATGACTTGGGACTTGAATTGGACTTGAACCGGTTTACTTGAAAAGACTTGATATTTTACCCCAAATATAAAATTTAACATGCATATTA